TTCCACTTCACAGACAACTTGGCACGCATGCGTAGTTCTGGAAGGGTGCAACTTGAAAAACCAGACGGACCGATCATTAAACTTAATATTGTCTAAATTGCGTTGAGTGATTAGAAGTGGCGTCGGCAAGCAACGCACAACTATTTTCCAATCCACGCAATTACTACAAGTAGTAGTTTCTTGATTGAAACAAGTGGTCTTCTACGTTTCTCAATATGGGAAAGAAGAAGAAGGGAAGCAAGCTAGACATCCGCACGGACTTGCTGAAGAGTTTCGGAACGGATGTTTTCAGCTCCAGCAAAGGTCGCTCTACAGACAAGCTTCAGCTTATCAAGCAGGTATGTGGAAAAAAAACTACTAGGAGTAAAATAAGAGCTTCTTGCGAACAATATATAGTAGAGGGGATTCTTTCCTGAATTAAAGGATGAATAAAAGTTATAAACGGGAACTATGCGACTCCAGATGTCTTATACTGTACTGAGGGACGACTGCGTGTGCAAGATGTGGGTTAGCTTGAGGAATGAATCCACTCTACTATATGTAGCTTCTTGCGAACAAATTATCATGGCAGTTCATCTGTGTTGGTAGTGATCATAGTGCAACTTCTTTCCATTGCACAGAATTTTGAACGACCTCTATTTGAACCCTGGGTACTCTTTGTGTTGGAATAAAGTTTAACTCTGTACTAAAACGTTTTTTTCGCTTGCAACCGATTTGAATATGCATTTCCCCATTCTGGTCCCTGTTTTCAAGACTACTCCTCTTCGAAGCCTGTGAACTTACATTATTTGTGGTAAACTGCGCTTAGTCTCCGTGAAGTATTAGTATCAGATGGTGGCTAGATACTAGATATGTAGCATGAAACAAGGGTAGGGTTAATATATTGATAATTTCCCGTAAGTGTAAGCTGATGCAAGGGGCAGATTTTTTAAGACACGACGCGAAATTTTCGTAAACCAAAAGAATTATCTCAAAACTAACAAAAACAAGTAGACAACTAGTACTTTTTAACACCGGTGTAGACATCTACCAAAAACAGCCCCCAAAACAGGGTTAACTTCATGTTAGTGCAGACTTTGTGGTTTTGATAAAAAGATTAAAAGATTTGCATGTTATTCTCAAATGCAGCAAATAAACTGTATCAATCATTAAAAAAAGTTTGTTAGTTCACAAATAGAATTTACGTGAATTTGATGAAACAACAAAATATAGTGCAACTCAATGTGACTAAAGAAAAAAAATTGGAAAAGCGTTATTGTAGAATTTGAAATCATATGTGGATGATCCAAAATTGCGCCATTGTCTGAAACTGACGTAGTAGGGTCATACAGGGTGCAGAGACAATTGATAAGTTTATTGTAAATTCAAGCCCGAAGGCTTATTGCAGAGAACAAAGGATGAAGAACATTTACACAAAGTACAAGAACTCAGTACAGTGCCGACTCATAAATGCCGCAAAAGGCATTGTTGCAATGTGCATGTACTGCTACTACCACAAATTCACAATACCAGCTCAATTGTATTCTGGTAGTTAAGCAGAGTTTTTTTGGCTGGATTTTTTTGTTCGCGCGCACTAGTTTTGGGGTCTTCAGTCCATAAAATTAAATCAGTGTTGCCTAAAGACGCCAAAAGGGCAGCGTTTAGCTTCCAGAATGTTTGTTTCTAATTCCATTACATGATTCGCGTTTCTCCTAAATTGTCAATTCTACATACTTTTCTTGAATTAGCTCTGCCATACTAGTGTATAGTGAATTGCGTGTATCAATAAAGTCACTGCCGACACATTTTCACCACAGGAGACACCTGACAAAAGTCGGCCAGAACAAGATGGCGGACGGAAGCGTCACAACCCCCTGGAGACGGCCAACTGGTTCTCCAAGATTTTCTTCTGGTAAGTACCAAGCAAATTATCCTCATTAAAAACAACAAAAGACCATATTTATACTGCTATATAAGTTTCCCAACCCATTTATTCTTCAAAGAGTCGGACAATTCATCTCCCACTGTTACCAAGCAAACTCACATACTATTGACAAACAATAAAAGTTGGTTAAGGTTATTTCCTATATGGGTATAACCTTAAACTTTTCAAGTCTAAGGTCAACAAACATCTGTCCTCACTGGCTGTGCAGTAACCCAAAACATTTTGAGTGGCTCCCATGAGCCTTGTTTTGTGGTGAATCATGAAGTAAACACACAAAAAAAGAACAAATTACTGCTTAAGTCTCCCAACCCATTTATTTTTCAAAGTGTCGGACAATTCATCTCCCACTGCCTCCTGAGAAGAAGTCAAACACCCTAACAGCTTGACTAGAATAGAATAATATGGAAGAAGAAGAAGAAGAATGAAGACCTTTATTGTACGCAAATACCCACTGGGTTCAGTACAGGTCACAGGAAAGACGTCACAGTTTGTTTACAGTTTGCAATGAATATATACAATGTACAAGCTAGCGCTAATTCTAATGTACTATGGACATAATAATAGTCTAATAATTAC